CCTATGCTAGGTCCCTATGGGTAAGAACTGACTTGAAGGCATTTAACAACAAGATATCTTTCACTAAGTCTCCCATGTCTTTGCTGCAGAGGTTCAGCTCAGTGCATCTACTTACTCTGCCATCTTGCCTCAGACTCAAATAATCAGATCTTGCTCTTGCTTAGAGATTTTTCCATTTTGAGTTTCTTTATGAGGCTTTCTACTCCCGTAAAGATTTACACCCTCGGAAACCCTGTACAGGGTCGCTATGGGTCGGAACCGACTCGAAGGCACTTAACAACAACAACAATTATTTACCATATTTCCTAGCCCAATGTCTTTCTTGGTTAACACTTCAAAATTTTCTGCCCAGATACACAGAAAATTCTAATTCTAATTCTCTGTGGTTTTAGGATCCTAATCACTCTTGTCTCTTACCCATTGCCTTCATGTTCAGGTATATAAATTTAAAATGTAAAGAATATGTGCCAAAGTTGAGTTTCTTGCCAAGAATTGAATTTACTGTCAAATGCAAAACTTGCTTAAGTACTATTTTTCCAGCAGATGTCAGCCTTGCACAAGAAAATGCCAAGATGTTAGGTGAAGCAGAACCTACATAGTTACACATTATGGGCAACCCATGCAAAGCCTAGGATTCCCATTCTCACAGACATGATCCATCTTTGACTAAATGTCAGTATCCAGAAATATTAGAATCAAATTACCAGGGAGCAAGTATTAGGAGGAGTTAATACATTTCAAGTAAGTAATTAGATTCCATTTTCTGCCAGGGTGACAAGATTTCATTACAGCAAGATAGACTGTGGTTAGAAATACTGCATTTCATTGGTTCTAAGACACATATTTTCACGTTCTAATATATTTGAAATCAGGATGTGTCTCACAATTGGTGATGTGAGTCAATTAAATGATCTTGTTTTGCCTCAAAATATTAATTATGAGTATTTCAAAAATGACATCAGATTTAATAAAATTCAGTAACTTTAAAGACTACATGTACTTTTGATGTTATTGTCACTGGTAAGTGCTATCGAGTCAGTTCCAACTCAAAGCAATCTTGTTCTGAGTGGTGGCTAGTGGGTTTGAACCACCGACCTTATGGTTCACGCGTGCTGTGAGATATTTAGTGGATTCTTCATTATTCTTTAACATGTAATATCCCATTGTGTGTATGTATAATGGTTTGTTTATTCATTCTTCTAACAATGGACACTTAGGTTGTTTCTATTTGTTTGCTATTGTGAATAATGCTACGATGAATATGAGTGATCATATATCTGTTCATGTCCCAGCTTTTATTTCTCTAATATATATGTGCATTAGTGGTATATTGCTAAATCATATGCTGTTTCTATTTCCAACTTTTTTTTAAAGAAGTGTGATGCCGTTTTCTATTTAAAATCCCACCAGTAGAGTAAGAGTTTTAACCTCTCCATACCTCAGCAGCATTTGTTGTTTTCTGAACTTTGCTGTTATTGCTGGGGTAAGATACGACTACCGCATTGTTGTTTTGATTTGCATCTCTGTGACTCTATATGATAAGCACTGGACTGCTAACCATGAAGTCAACAGTTCAAATCCACCAGATGCTCCCAGAAACTCTATACAGGGTCCCTATGAGTTGGAACTAACTTGACAGCACAGAATATCAAAATGACTAATGGTCTGGAGCATTTCTTTATGTGTTCATTGGCCACCTGTATGTCTTCTTTGAGGGAGTATCTTTCTAAAGTTAACATAAGGGTGCCTTTTTTGTTAAAAGAGGCCCTGGCCCCAAGCCATTAGCATTTTCCCCCTCCTATGCTCTCATTTGGAGTCTTAGTGTGGCGCTATGGGTTAATGTGCCAGACTGCAAAGCCATTTGAACTGCAAGGTCTGCAGTTCAAGCTCAGCAGCTGCTCCTCGGAAACCCTATACAGGGTCGCTATGGGTCAGAAACGACTCAATGGCACTTCACAACAACAACTCTCTCATTCAGAGTCTGCCAAGGAAGAGATCTTAATCTTCCTTCAGCTTGCTGAGGAGGGGAAAAAAACGACTCTTCATGTTACTCATATTTTCCACCATGCCCAGGAATTTCTAACTTAGTGCTCTTTCTATTGGCACTCTGCTTCTGAAATGTAAACAAGTTGGCCTTTACAAGATTTATACGAGACAGACTCAAGGAGTGAGTTTTCATGTTTTGTGGTCTGTTTCTTTGACCAAATCTGAGGTAGCAAATCCCAACACATATTCTATTTATAAAATAACCATATCTAGAGGTGAAAGATTTCATTTTATAGCCAAGTCTGTTGGCTACAGTGAGAGAAAAAGAAAGAGGGGGTAGAAAAAATGGTGCAGGGTAATGGATAACTCAAAGAACTATTGGTTTTTGATTTATGGGAACCTATGTGAGCGTGGCAGCTACAGTCCAGCTGTTGTTTGTAAGAATGGCTCCATGTAATAGTATTAACAATCACACTAATATATAATGCTCACTACATGTCAAGTACTGCCCTATGTTAATTCATTTGATTTTATGAGATAAATTCTTTCTTATTCTCCATTTTACAGATGATAACTCTGGGCATACTTATATTTTGTACTATAAGGTAATTGGATATATGAATCTGGAAATAGAGTGTTTTTTGTTTTGTTTTTTATTGTTTGCTTATGTTTTGTCTTGTTTTGTCTGGAGTAAAAGTCTTACTTCTAATAGGGGAAGGCATAAGAAAAGACAGCTCACTCAAAAGCATGGTAAGAAGCCAATATATAAAAGAAACCATTGGGACCATTAATTAATGAAAGATCAAAGTAAAAACATCCATGAAGGAATAACCATATTGATTGGAAAAAGTAAGTGGCAAATAAAAGCCAAGTAAGTGAAGATTGCTTCAAAATCAATGTAATCTTCAAGAACAGATGCCATAAACTACCCAGTAGGAAAGAAAAAGCAATAAGCCCATGGACTTTGCAACTAGGTAATAGGAGCCCTGCTGGCACAGTTGTTAAAGCACTAGGTTGCTAACTAAAACATTGGCAGTTCGAATTCACCAGGCACTCCATGGGAAAAAGATGTAGCCGTCTGCTTCTGTAAAGATGTACAACTTTGGAAACACTATGAGGCAGTTCAACTGTGTTTTATAGGGTTGTTGAGAGTTAGAATCAACTTGAAGGCAGTGATTTTTATTTGATTTTAACAATTGAGAATGTTAACAAGAGCATTTTTATTTACAATGAAATCTTTAAACTATTGATGAAAGAGAATAGGAAATAATGACAGGAAGACAGGCAAATGAGTCAGGAGACTGTAGGGAACATATTTTCTAGGATGGATAAGATTTAAGCACACATTTTATTTGATGAAGGAAAAGAATCAATAGTAATGGAGAGACGATGATTCAGAAGGTAAGGGATAATGAGAGTGTGAGAATTTGGATGAGTTAAGATCCAAAGCTTTAAACTATTTTGTTGGAGACAAAAAATATTAAAATTACTACGGGCTACTAAAAGAACAAACAAATCTGTGTTGGAAGAAATACAGTCATAATGTGCTTTAGAAGTCACGTGGCCAAGACTTTCTCTCTCATACTTTGGACATATTATTAGGATGGACCAGTCCTTGGAGAAAGACGTGATATCATGCTAGGCAAAGTGGAAGATCCGTGAGAAGGAGGAAGACCCCCAACGAGATGTATTGGAACAGTGGCAGCAGTAATGGGCTCAAGTTTAACATTGTGAGGATGGCTCAGGACAGGGTAGTGTTTCATTCTGTTTTGCATAAGGTCACTATGAGTCGGAACCAACTCGAGGTTACCCAATAACAACAACATCCAAAGCACTTCGGAGAAGTTATCCATGAACTAGAAGTATAACTCTTGCTTGTGATGAATGGAAAGGAGGAAAGATAGTTATGAATATAATTATATCTGTCACTTGTTGTTGTTGTTAAGTGCCGTTGAGTCAATTCCGACCCATAGCGACCCTGTACAGGGTTTCCAAGGCTGTAAATCTTTACGGGAGTAGAAAGCCTCATCTTTCTCCCGCAAAGCAGCTGGTAGTTTCTAACTGTTGACCTTAAGGTTTGCAGCCCAATTTGTAACCACTATGCTACCAGAGCTCCTTAGCAGAGAAAAAAGAAGTCATTTATAAAGATAGAGAGCAGAGAATTTAAGGAGACTTAGTAAAGAGTTGAAAGAGCTCTGGTAGCATAAGTGGTTATGAATCGGGCTGCTAATTTCAAGGTCAACAGTTCGAAACTACCAGCTGTTCCACGGGACAGATTAACAGCCTCAGAATCCCTGTATAGGGTTGCTATGAGTCGGAATCGACTCCACGGCACAAAACAACAGCAAGTAAAGAGTTGAGTTTTCCACTATGACAATGTTGTTGTTGTTGTGAAGTGTTGTCGAGTTGGTTCCGACCCATAGAGACCCTGTATAGGGTTTTCAAGGAGCAGCTGGTGAGCTTGAACTGCTGACCTTGCAGTTCAAACGGCTTTGCAGTCTGGCGCAAACACCGGGACTCTACTATGAAAATAGAACACAAGAAATACTTATATATTGTTGTTGTTAATTGCTGTTGAGTTAGTTCCAACTCATAGCAATGCTGTATCAGGTTTCTGAGGAGCGGCTGGTGGGTTTGAAAATCTGATCTTACTTTTAGCAGTCCAGTACTTATCCTACAATGCCAGTAGAAATATGTATTGATAAAACTGCAGGTGATTTGTGTTAGGGGTATGCTCAAGGTACAAAACATGGATTAGCAATTATTCTGTGATTTTCTTCAGTAGTCTCAGTAATCCAAGTATAAAGGCACAAGAGGTAAATGCTTCTGTTTCCTGGAAAAGAGTCTCACCCAAGTCATATAATTCTTTGATGTTGTTGCTATAGATAATTTGAAATATTACTTACAGAAGTGAGAAACATTTTCACAGGTGAGGTATGAAAGTTCCTATGCACTCTAGTACCCAAACTTGTCTCAAAAACTCATGGTATGTTTCTTTTTCATTCCCACTGCAGGCTTTCTCCACCATCACAGCAGCACTTACTCTGACAGCAGTGGCTTCACAGAGGAACTTAATTCCCACCTCTTCTCAAAGGAGGATGCACTGCCCTCAACATCTAGCTTCTGCTCTCCAGCCCTCTGAACTGCTGCATGCAGTAGGAGAAAGTAGTATAGTGAACACTGAATGGAGAGACTTGGAATCTACATCTTGATGCTCTCAAGCAATGCGTGCACAGAGAAAGACATTAGTCATGGCACTTCAACTTCTCTAATATATGGATATTAGAATGCATGAGATACACAGTGATCAACTGAACAAAGACTTCATTTTACCCAGGCATTGACATTGCCCAGGGCAGTTAAAGGCGTCTTGGTGTGGCGCTGTAGGATAAGCACTGGACTGCCAAACTTGGCACAAGTTTGGCAATTCAAACCCACCAGTCACTCCTCGGAAACCCTGTACATGCTCACTATGACTTGGAACTGACATATTGGCAATCAACAACAGAGCTGTTAGAAAATGGTTAAGTGGGGAAACCAAGGGTTGCTGCTAGAACACCTTCAAAGGGATCAAGCTAAATGAAGAGGATGAAAACCCAACTTAAGGCTCTGAAACCCATAGTAGGATTCCTTCTGAGTCTCAGCACATCCTTGTATAACTAGTTGCCATGGAGACATTTCTGATGCATAACGATTCCATGTGTGGTACATTGGAACTGTGCTCTGTCGAGCTTTCAGTGGCTGATTTTTCAGACGTAGATTGCAAGACCTTACTTCCAATGCACCTCTGGCTAGACTCAAACTTCCAAACTTTATAGTAATCAAATACATTAACCCTTTGTATCACTCAGGAACTCCCATCCTATTTACCCCCAATTAAATTTCAGAAAATAGTCCATAACACTGAAACACCACAGTCCTATTGTTTTCTTCTTGAGGCCTAATCTGAAGAGATCCACTTACAGCCTCCAATCCATACCCCTTAAATTCAGTTTCTCCTTCTGTCTCAAAGTTTGGATTGTCAAAAGAAAGGGAGAGGGTTCAGGATCCCTCTCCTGAGTTATTGCAAAACATGTACCAGATTTTCTGCTGGCAGAAAACAATACAAATAAAACTGTTTTTAAATCCTGTCATGTTTTTAAAAAGAATTTAGAGTCATGTTTTGTTTTGGGGGGGTTGCATGTTAATAAATAGGTCTTGAGTACTCACAGTGTTCTACCAGGGATAAGGGGCGTCTTAGATACAGTCCTCCCCCAAGAAAAACGTTTAGTGTTAAGTGGATGGGGTTAAACACTTGTGCACACACATAAATATACACACAATTCCTGTGATGTATTTCTTGGTTGTCTAATAATTGCAAAGCAGCAAAGACCAGAGGGTGGGATTGGAGGGAAATCATAACCAGGTACATAGGGTCTGAGATTATTTCATTTTAAGTGATCTGGCGTGGCGCTGCGGGGCAATGCGCTGGACTGCAAAGTCGGTTTGAACCGCAAGGTTGGTGGTCCAAACTCAACAGTCGCTTCTCGGAAACCCTATACAGGGTCACTATGGGTCGGAACCGACTCAAGGGCACTTTAATAACAACAGACTAACAGAGCATTTGACCCCATCTTGTTGTAGAAATAGGCTGTGGCTGCAGAATGAAACAATTCCCAGCAACTAAGGAGCTCTGGGAGCGAAGTGGTTACGAATAGGGCTGCGAATCTTACGGTCAGCAGTTCGGAAGTACCAGCTGTTCCGCGAGAGAAAGATGAGGCTTTCTGCTTCCATAAAGATTTACAGCCTCGGAAACCCTGTGCAGGGTCGCTATGAGTCGGTTCCGACTCCACAGCACTTAACCACTACCACCAACAACAACACTAGATCAAGAGTAGATAGCTGAAGTTTTCTTGAGAATGTGTCCAGGCAGGAGGTAGGGCTGACATTGTGGTTTACTCAGAGGGAAGGCGGAGCCCTTAGGACATGGGAAAGGAAACATTGCAGTTCAGTTTTTTTCCCCCAACCCCACCCCCCTGCTCCAGGCAGATTCTGAAGAATTGAGAGAGGCAGAACGGTTTATGGAAGGTTCTATTCTTAGCTCTGGGAACAAAGGCTTCTCCTGATCCTCTTCTGCCTCCGCACTGCGCCTCCTTCTTTCAGCTGCCAAAGGGAACCCAGCTCCTCTGTGAACGTTCACACACAACGACCCTGATGTGATTGGGAATAAATGGGTAGGTCGCAGTTTGAAAACTGTCTATGGAGTCCAGGCTAAACCACAGTTCCTACCTCATCTATGTAAGAGACTGGCTCAGGGAATTCAGAGACATTGTTTAGGGAAAATGAGAGACGTGGTAAATCAATGGTGCGCAACCATCGCAAGTCGACCATATGCACCCAGACTCCAAGTCGTCAGTCAGGTCCATCCATCAAGACAGCCAAGCTGTCACACGCCAATAAGCTCATCAGGGCGGGGATTGGAAGTCTGAGAATCAAAGAATAGCTCAGCTTGAAAGGACTAGTTTAATTATTCCATTTTAAAGAAAACAAAAGCCCATAGACAGGAAATTAATTTGGTCAAGAGCACAAGGCTGGCAGCCAGAACTCAAGCTGTGGTCCCCTGTTCATGAATCTGGAGCTTTTTTCTATCATATCTGTTCTCTTTGTTGTCCTAGCATTTCCTTCAATCCTGCTTCACCACCACTGTCACCGTTTAAGGATAATTTAAAAGGAGCTCTGGTAGCGTAGTGGTTACGAATCGGGCTGCGAACCTTAAGGTTAGCGGTTCGAAACTACCAGCCACTCCGCGGGAGAAAGATGAG